AGAAAACACAAACTATGATTTTGTGGAAAATATTAGGATGAGGCAAAATATGAAAATCTGCAATCTTCACCACCATTAAGTTATTTTCAAGAATAGCCTGCACCAAAGAAAAAAGAGTTGTGATGACTTGCCATCATAATGCCACAGTTGTATGGAATTACGTGCAGCAGTAGCCACTGTCCTTCCTCTTCAAGTAAATGCTTGTAATAAGACAACATAAGGGAATAATGCCTCCTAGGAGATTAGTTGAAGGGCCCTAGGGAGTAGAAGAAGTGCTGCTTCACCATTGCAGAAGAGGTCCACCAGCAGCATTTCACACTGGCCAAGATTCAGGTGAAATGCTGCTGTGACACATATGCTCTGATAGTAGAGCAAGAGATATACAGAGTGCAGGTATGGTGGTGGCTTCAAATTCATCAAGTCCAAAGCCTCCTTGGGTGAATCTATACCAGGGGTAGGCAACCTTTCTCCTTTAAGGGCCGAGGGACTTCAGCTCCCAGAAACCTCAGCCATGTTGGCCAATAGTCTCATGTTGGCCAATAGCTTCTGGGATTCTGGGAGCTGAAGTCACTCGGCCCTTAAAGGGGAAAGGTTGCCTACCCCTGATCTATACTGTAGAAATAATGCAACATTACCCTTTAATTACCATGGCTCCATCCTACAGAATCCTAGCATTTGTAGTTTTGTGAGGCACCAGCACTCTTTGGCAGAGAAGACTAGAGACCTTCCAAAATCACAAATCCCAGAATTCCATAGGATGGAGCTACAGCACTTAAAGTGGTGTCAAACTGCTTTATGTCTACAGTGTAGATGCACCCTAAGTTCTTACAACATACCTCAGAAACAATCCACCCCAAAGGTAGCCCTGGATCCAGGATATTTAATTCCTACTCTTTGCAATCCATGGGAGGAAGGAAGAAAAAGAGGGCATTTCATCATCCACTTTGGCTAAAGCAAAATTGCAGGGCAATGGAAACAGTGCTAACTCTTTCAGCTCATCACAGAGACGATTGTGTTCTCCCATTGTGTAATACAGTACTTGCATTAAAATTAGCTGATGATGGAGCCTTCTTCAATAGAGTATGGAAGGGAACAACACTTTTTCCATCACTATGAATGATCAGTGAGTAAAAATTATTTAAAGACTATAGAGGAATACGTAAAGGCTCAAGTGGTTAAGACGCTGACTCTGTTGATTGCAAGATCGTCAGGTTGACATTTTTCAGAAGAGGCCCAGGGGCCGCGTGATGAGGTGAGCTCCCATCACTAGTTCCAGCTTCTGCCATCCTAGCAGTTCGAAAGCATGCAAATGCAAATAGATAAATAGTACCACCGATGGGAAGTTGAACTGTTCTGTGCAATCATGCTGGCCATATGATCACAGAGGAGTCTCTGACAGTGCTGACTCTTTGGCTTAGTAACGGAGATGAGCACTGCCCCCTACAGTCAGATACGACTTGACAGCCTTGTCAACAGGGAATATCTTTACCTTAACAGTGCCTTGACATGAATGTCTAGTCGTAACCAACTGTAGGGGGACGTGCTCATCTCTGTTACTAAGCCAAAGGGCCAGTGTTATCCGAAGACTGCTCTGGTGGTCATGTGGCTAGCATGACTGCAATGAATGCTGTTACCTTCCCACAGAAGTGGTACCTATTTATCTACTTGCATTTGCATGCTTTCAAACTGCTAGGTTGGGACTAGTGACAAGAGCTCACCTCATCTCGCAGCACTTGGGCCTTGAACTGCCAACCTTCTGATCTTCTGGTTGTTAGAATTGGCATCTTAACCATTAAGCCACTGCATCTCTACTGCTTTTCAAGGAACCAACAAAAGTTTAAGGTTATTTTTATCATCTAGGGTTTTTTCCTCTGCTTTGTCTATACCCTGTGTATGTACACCAGTCAACCTGGGATCAATCATAGTTCATGCATCTGGTGAAATGCTTATTGTTCCAAGCATATATGTTGTTGTGCTCAAACCTGCACTTTCAGTCATCGTTGCCATCTGAATTTTTTCTGTGATGGCTTATGCACTAATGAATGTCCTTAGTGTTCATGCTGCCACAAGTTTGTGTAGATTTTGCCTCAAATTCAAGTTTCAGAGATACTGTATTCTTTATGTCTGCTCCTTTAATTTAATTTCCATCTGTGTTTATGTGTGGAGGTATTTATCAGGGGGCTATTCCAAGTTCCTGTGGAGTTGTTTGGAACCTGCAGGAAATGCTGTGAAGTTGCCTTGGATATCTAACACTGTAGGGGTTGCATGGAGGAAATCTTTTTTGACTTAAAAGGACAAGTTCAGCACATCCCTAACTAAAGCTTTTGCATATAAACAAATGCATAGTCCCAACAGGAAAGGTTTAGCCTGCCTTTGCTTTTGTTTATGGAGAAGATTTTAGCTCTCATGAAAGAAGGCATTGGGTAGCAGCGTGTCAGACTAAGGTATTGGCAAGCTCTGTGTAAATTTCCTTCTCCAGCTCTTTACCAAAGGCCCCTCTGGCTTTTCTTTGCCACATCTTTCCCCTTGTATAACTGAGTTTCTCCTCAGCAACACATTGGTGGTACAATTATTTCTCATCTTATGAATAAAGGATGTGTACACT